CCCGTGGACCGGCGCCAGTGTGGGACAGGCCAGTCCCGTGGACCGGCGCCAGTGGGGACAGGCCAGTTCCGTGGACTGGCGCCAGTGGGGGACAGGCCAGTCCCGTGGACCGGCGCCAGTGGAAAGACAGACTAGTCCCGTGGACTGGCGCCGGTGGAAGACAGACCAGGCCGACACAGCTCAGTCAGTACCTCTGAGCGACGCGCTCGGCGTGGGTAGCGTGCACGCACGCACTGTAGCCACAGCTGGCGCGGGCCCGGCACGCAACGCAGGGCGCCGCGCCGGCGGCCTCGCCGGCCAGCCCTCACCTGCAACACAGAACGGCCCAGTTAAGGCCAGGGTACGAGCACTCTGGGGCGTACTCGCAGCGCGGCATTAAAGATCTATGCTACGTGACGTCACGTTGCACAGTTTGCCGGACGTGTTGGCAACGCAGCAAGTTTTCTGTTTAGATCTTCGCAACTTTCGAGATGATAACGCGCGTGCGATACTCTAGCATTAACGTTTGCACGTACTACACGTGCCGCTTAAATTGAAACTGGAAATTATGTTGTTTGTAATGTGAAGCACGTCTTTTCTTCACCCATCGTTGGCGCTGAGCGCACAATGCAACTGGTTTAAAAATGAACGTACTGCGCCATTTCTGTCTCCATCGATCAAGTAAACGAAATAAATTCTGCACGTTTGGCAAAGATTCTACGTGACATTACGCGATAGCTTTGTTGTCGGGCTGCTACCGACACCAAAAGGCGCCGGATCTATGGGGTGGGATTTCATGGAATGATGTCGACAGCATAGGTTGCTTTTCGTCCGCGATGCTGTAAACACACCATAGGCGTCATGGCCAGGAAATTCCATTTTGAAGACATGTACCAATCAAAGAAAAGATCACGTTCTGGTGGTTAATATTAACCACCAAACAACAGCATCGGCGCAGGATATTTCTAAACGACAGGGGTCAAAAAAGCTTTGCAGTTGTACACGGTTTGACATGCGCTCGAATGGGGGGTGGGTCACTTAGACCCCCAAACCTTTTTCCAGAATAATTTCTGGGCGGCGCCGCATAGCCGCGCCAATTCGGGAGTTGGGTAACCGTTCTTTTGATATAAATCAAGTAGATGCACCTCATAAGGTCACTGACCTATGACAGGTCAACCTTGGCTGTCCCTGGCAAAGGGACAAGTCCCAGGACAAACCCTGGCTGTCAGCGAAGGACATCTTATGGAGTCATTTAATGTGATGCAAGAACGGAGTGTTAAACAAAGTCATGCATATCTGAGATAGTTTTTAGGTAATAAACCCATTGAATTTATAATAATAACAAAATTTATTGGCCTAGGATCACGTGCGAAGGTGAGACCGAGGTAAAAACTAGCCTGTTTTTTTACTCGAGGGCTTGGTTTGTGGGATAGTTTCTGGTACTCATTTTAAATCAATTAACGACAGTGACCGCAACAAACATGCTTCATGATATTTCTATTATTAGAGCAGGTCAATGACCTAAAATGACTCAGGTCAATTTTTTGTTTTAGGGACAAAGCGCCTAGCGCGAGCCCTGACACTGATTTAAATGACAAACAGGAGCAATCTCGGAGGCGTTTGGTCACCTTAATCTTATATAGGTCAAACAAGGATATTAATCAAACATCATTGGCCAGTTGCTTGAACAGGTATCTAGCTTCACGGGGGCTGCATGAGGAGGTATGGGAGCATTTGAGCCACCAATCTGGAGCTTGACCTTGTTTGCCCTTATCTGACCCCAATTTTATTATTTGGTAACCTCAAATTTTGACACAATTGAGTTTACATGCAAGGCTATCCACCCTGTGAATTTGGTGTTTTTAGCTGTCTTAGTTCTTGAGATATCAGGGGAAGTAAAATTGACCCCCACCCGAGCGAAGGGTGTTCAGCCAGTCACTCAGGACGAGTGTTAAGCGAAGTTCACCGCATTAAAAACTTAGGTGAAAGGTGTCCTACATTTGATGCCAGAAATAAAAAAACAATTTGGGTTCGCGTCTAAATAACACCATGACGGACCGGCGACAAACCCATAGTTTCTAGCTTATTAAATAAAAGCCTCACAAAACACCTGCTAGGGAGAATTGCGAAAACAAAGTTTCGTAAAATGCGCGATAGCGTTCATCGTGTGCAAGGCGACATACAAACATTGCGCATACAAAAGCTGCAACCCCACATTGGCTGTAATTATACACAGTAGCCTTTATAGTTAAATCCAGCAACCCAATGCATTCTTCGCTGTTCTCGGCATGAAACGAATGGGAATCTTCCTGAACGTGTGATACACATCAGCATTTCCTAGATCCCAGTGACGAACGTACGGCAAGCCGCGATTATGAAGCGCCACTAGACGACCATTCATCGCCACCTGGTTACACCACACCCATGAGCCAATTCACTATAGGAGCTAGCAATTTGCATGCAGCATCATTAGTGTCAATGCCAA